AAAAAAAAAAAAAAAAAAAAAAAAAAAAAAAAAAAAAAAAAAAAAAAAAAAAAAAAAAAAAAAAATTGTGGGGTTGTGGGGTCATTTGACCCCACATGACCCCATGTGGGTCCGCCCCTGGTTATTACTGCAAAATAACTATGATTTGTTGGCCAACGAGTTGGCAGGGAAGTAGGTTTCCTGCGAGATGATAACGTCTTTGCCCCTTCAATTATGGGAAGCAAATGGGCATTGGTTTCGAAGAGTATGATGAACAGTATTTTTTTACATTGAGATGTGCAAGCAAGGCATGCAAATAAATATGTGAATGTAGTGTGCTTTTTTGCATGACTCTGATTTGATTTTGTATACTTTTGCGTTGTGCATGATTTTGATTTTATTTGAATTTGCATTTTGCACGGATTTTTTTTTTTTTTTTTTTTTTTTTTTTTTTTTTTTTTGTGTTTTGTTTTCTTTTGTTTTTTTTTTTTNTGTTTTTGTTTTTGTATGCTTTGGTGATATGCTTGCTTTCATATTTTTAGGATGGTGATTATTTTTGGCACTTCACTATAAAAATCTCTGAGTTGAATTTTGAAAGGGTTTAGGTCATGTTTGAGTCAAATTATTATAGAATGAGAATGAAAAATATAATCGTTATTGGGGCCCACACAAGAGATAGAAAATTTGAATTTAAATGTTGATGTAATGGATAACGGTCATATTTTTCATTTTAATTAGATAATAATGTAGATCAAACGGGGGCTTAATCTGAATAGGCACGAAGATTCGGTGGAAGCTTATATTTATTCAACTTGTCAGAAATGTCATTTTAGACTGATGAATTAAGTGCACTTCTAATGCATTTTCTTTCCTGCACACTTAAAAGAACTTTAGTAACATTGAAATGGCTTGATTTTGTTGTGGACTTATGACCAATATCTATGCTTCTCTGCAGTACAACACCAGACTACGTTAAAAAGAAGGACTTTGCTAGGGATACATAAATTTTCACATATGGTTCACATAATTACATGTGGCACATATCCAATTTTTAATTTAAATCTCACACTTTCACATCAACTA